ATTGAAGATGTGGGTCACAGGGACTGTGATGATATGAGCAGCCAGCCTTAAGAAATAAGGTGGAAGTTCATCTGGACCTGCAGATTTTTTAGGATCAAGATCTTTTAACAGTTTATTGACCTCACTGACTGAGAATAGAGAAAAAGAGAAGGTGTGATTAACTGAGGATTGACTTGTAGGAGGGATTTGATTTGTAGAAGTTTGGCTATTAAGTGAAGTGGCTGATTTTTTGTTAGTAACTGTGTCAAATAAAGAACCAGAAGCAACAAAATGTTTGTTGAAACAGTTCAGGATCTCGTGCTTATTTGACACAGGAACAGAGTTAATGAGAAGTTGTGATGGGAGGTCAGATGATTGGGGGGTGCCTGAGAGAGATTTTATGGTTTTCCAGAATCTGTTAGGGTCATTTAGATTTTTGGAGGTCTGAGATAAGAAATAGTTGCGTTTTGCTGCTTTAACAGCAGTTGTGCATTTATTCCTCATCTGTCGAAAACTCAACCAATCAGTGTCTGAGCCAGATTTTCTCGCTGCGGCCCAAAGATGATCTCTCCTGTGCAGGAGGTCAGCTAGCTCTGGAGTAAACCAGGGGCTGTCTCGTCCTTTTATTCTGAACTGACGAAAAGGAGCATGTAAGTTCAGGAAATAAATTAAATTATTATGGAAATAGTTCCAAGCAGAGTTCAGGTCATCAGTTAACAGAATACGATGCCAGTCAAAGTGAGACAGATCCCAGAGGAATGACTGTTCACAGAAATGTTTCAGATCCCTTTTTTGAATTAATCTGGGCTTAGAAGGTGGAAGTTTAATATATCTCAAAGCAGCTGTCACACAGTGATCACTCAAAAGATCAGCGAATACACCTGTACCAGGGAATTTGTGAGGCATATTAGTTAGAAACAGGTCTAAGACGGAGGAATTGTCAGGGTGGCTTTTATTTAATCTGGTGGGGGAGTCGGTCAGTTGGGTTAAATTAAAAGACAAGCAACATTCCTTGAATTTGTCACAGAGGGGGGTCGACTTACACCAATCAATGTTAAGATCTCCAGCTAAAAAGACCTCTTTGAATTTTAAATTACCAAGGAATTCCTTAATGGCATTTAATGCCTCAGGTGAAGTTGATGGTGGACGATAGCAGCAGACTACAGTTAAAACCTGGCCTCCATTCAAGGTGATGTTTACAGATAAGGCTTCAAACTGGTTTGGAATTGTTTTGGAAGACACAAGACTTGAAACCAGGGTATCTCTAATGTAAATAATGACTCCACCCCCCCTTTTTTGACGATCACAGCGGTAGATGTTAAATCCATTGATTGCCACGTCATTATTCATTACAGATTTGTTGAGCCAGGATTCAGAAATAAAGATAACATCAGCCCCAGAAGAACTGACCAGGATTTTCACAGCATCAAGTTTTTTCAGAAGGCTACGAGCATTTACATGTAGAAAATGAAGCCCAGAGGCATTTTTAAAGTCAATTGGTGTGCTGTAATTAACCAACAGGAGGCCAACAAGTTAAACCAGTTCTTCAACAGGTTTGACATTGTAAACATTGCCCACCCCTGAACCACTGCACGTCCCTCACCCACACCTCCAACTGCTCACACTGCACGCACTGCTCTCAGATAAACTCTCAGAAATCGGTTTCTCAGAACACACCATTGGTTGGTTCTCTAACTACCTTTCAGACCGGAGGCAATGTGTTCAACATAATGGTACTTCCTCCAGTTATTTAACAGTCAACAATGGTGTACCACAAGACTCAGTCTTAGGACCCACCCTCTTTACAATCTACATACATAATGTAGGTAAAAACATCCCTAATGCATCCATACATTTCTATGCTGACGACACAGTTGTTTATTGTTGAGCTAAAACTGTTGCTAAGGCTTTCCAGCTTTTGAAATCTGCATTCAACATCATCCAGACTGATTTGTTCCGCCTCAAACTTGTCCTAAATGCCGACAAAACCAAAGGGATGCTTTTTTCAAATAGGAAGTTGGTCCCAGCAGTTCTTCCTCCGATTTTATCCTCAAATGGTGTCTCTTTTGAGTTTGTTGATTCTTATAAATATCTGAGTATCTTGATCGACTCACATCTCTCTTTTAAGCTCCATGTGGAAAACTTGGTAAAGAAACTTAAAGTTAAACTGGGTTTCTTTTTCAGAAACAAATCCTGTCTAACCCTGAATGTTAGGAAACACCTTGTATCTGTGACTTTCCTTCCCTCCATTGATTATGGTGATATTATTTACATGAACGCTCCTACAAGAACCCTGCAGATGTTGGATGCTGCAGATGTTGGATGCTGTCTAACATGGTGCACTAAGATTCATAACTGGCTGTGATTATTGTACCCACCACTGCACCCAGTATTCACTGGTTAACTGGTCACCATTAACTCCACACAGACTCTCTCACTGGTACATTTTCATCTTTAAATCACTTCTTGGTCTGCTGCCTTCATACATCTCCTCCTACATGTCTCTGCGTGAGTGCAGCTACAGCGTGCGCTCTCAGGAAATTATTACCTGCAGTGTTCCCTCAATGAGGACTGAACTAGACAAAAGGACCTTCTCCTACTCCGCTCCTGTTTCATGGAATATCTTACAAAAAGATTTGAAGCTCTTGACCTTGACCTCTCTAAGTGGCTTCAAACATCTGTTGGACTCCTGGCAGGGTCCAATGCAGACATGTTCCTGTTTTTAGTTTTCTACATTCACCTTAGAATCTAGCTGTTTTTTTTTGTTTGTTACCTTTTTCTTTTAGCCATCCTATTTGTAAAAAATAAATAAAATAAAAAATAAAAAAATAAACCTGCAGTATGACTTTTTATAATTGTTTATTGTTGTTGCTGTTGTCCATTGTTGTCATCTTTCTTTGTTGAAATCAGGTCTCTCTTGTAAATGAGTCCTCGAGGCTCAATGGGATTTACCTGTCTAAATAAAGGTTGAATGAAAAAAAAACTGCTCAACCCTCACCCATACCTCCAACACCTTCCAGGGGGTCACCACATTTCCTAGTAAGCCCTACCCCTCCTTATCATGAACATAATGGACCCCAACTGCAACCCCCTTCACCTAACACCCCTTCCCCTGCACCATCATTGTCTTCCCATAACAAATCATAGCCTCCAATCGCCATCAGCAAGGAGGCTGTGAGGATGGAGCTCAGCCGTCTACGTCCAGGCAAGTCTTCAGGTCCAGATGGATCAAGCCCCAAACTCCTGAAAGGATGTGCGGCTCAGCTGTGTGATGTTTTTCAGCACATTTTTCACCTGAGCCTGAGCATGAGGTCCCTGCTCTGTGGAAAACAACATACCTGTTCCCCGGTGCCGAAAAATAACCACCCAGACTCTCACAGTAGGGCAGCACGGTGGCGCAACTGGTAGAGCTGCTGCCTCTCAGCGAACAGGTCCCTGGTTCAAACCCCAGTCCAGGGGCCTTCTGGGTGGAGTTTGCATGTTCTCTCCGTGCATGCGTGGGTTTTCTCCGGGTACTCCAGTTTCCTCCCACAGACCAAAAACATGCATGTTAGGCTGATTGGTAACTCTAAATTGTCCCTAGGTGTGAGTGAGAGAGTGAATGGTTGTTTGTCTCGTTTGTCTCTATGTGGCCCTGTGATGGACTTGCGACCTGTCCAGGGTGTCCCCCGCCCCTCGCACAGTGATTGCTGGACATGGGCACCAGCGACCCCCGTGACCCAAAATGGAATAAACGGGTAAAGATAATGGATGGATGGATGGACTCTCAGAATAACTACAGACCTGTAGCCTGACATCACGTGCCATGAAGTCGCTGGGGAGGCTGGTCCTGAAGCATGTTAGATCAGTGGTGGAACCATACTTGGACCTCCGTGGGTCCTCCCCCAGAAAATTTGGAACAAAAGAGATGTCTTTTCCTGCATTTTGGTGTATTTTAATGTATTAATAAACATTTATGTTTGCCTACATTTGTAAACATTTGATTAAATTGATTAAAACCAGGTCTCTCTTGTAAACGAGTCCTCGATGAGACTAACCTGTATACATAAAGGTTGAATTGAAATTGGGCAGGAGCGTGTGCACGAGCTGGTGTGCATACTGCGGCTGGAACATCCACTCCACAAACTGGGCAACGTCTCCTCTTGTTGTATTTTAAAAAAATAATCTAACTAAAAATGCGCAATGATTTTGGACTTTTAGGGGTGGAAATTTGAGTTGCCGGATCTGAGCAAACAGTTGCTAGAACACAGCCGGTCAGAATGAAGGAGTTCCCGGATCTTGTTTCGGCAGGATCCGGCACAAATTAAGCTCTGGTCCTTCCTCCCTGTGGCTATCAAACTTTTCAACTCCTCCCCCTTTCTACACAGAGGGCAATACAGTTATTTACCTGCACCACAATAAATGCAGTAAACACTTTAAAGTTTCTGTCTGCACCTGACCTGTTTTAGAACTTAATTGTTGGTATTTTTATATTCTCCATTATTTTTTATATTCTTTGTTGTTTTTTTATATTCTTTGTTATTTTTATATCTTGTGTATGTTCCTTTGTACTGAAATTCTGGCACAACAATTTCCTGCGGGATCAGTAAAGTTTTATCTTATCTTATTCTTCGTCCACTCCACTGGCCACCTCTACCATTAGAGAAAACTACTTTTAGACATTATGATAACTAGAAAGCATAGTTTCTTCAAATGGTTGTGGAGGCCAGTTTACATTTACATATGATGGTGGCCATCTTGAATTTTGACACAGCCACCCATTTTTTGACATCGCGTTATCATCATGTTGCTTTATCAGCATGTTGCTTAAAATTCAAGTCTTCCTGCTCACAGGATGGGCGGGCAGCGGAGGAAGGTTATTTCCAATTCCCCGCTTCACTCCGCAACATGGTACAAAAAAAAAATAAAGAAAAAAAGAAAAAGTATATATATATATATATATATATATATATATATAAATATATATATTCATCATATAAAGGAGTTACGATGATCTTCGTACCAACCAGTGAGATACTTACAGCGAACCTCCAGTTTACACTCCACTGTATCCTCCCCCTGGTCGTTGACAGCTTTGCACATGTACACCCCCCCATCGAATGGACAGGGCTTACGGATCTCCAGCGTCAGAACCCCCTGCTTACTGAGCATCCGGTACTTTGCTTCATTTGAGATGTCCATTTTGTTTTTGTACCAGGTCACTTTGGGCTAAAAAAAACAAACAAAAAAAAAGTTTCTCGTCATATTTTAATACTTGTGTCTAAATATCCTGATGCATGCTCAATAATCCAGGAAGAAAAATCTAAAAAAGTGAAGTCTGGTCCTCTGGACATTCAAAAAACAAAACAAAGCAAAACAAACAATAAAAGTAGAAACATTTCATCTTTCATCCGAAAGACTTCCTCAGTCTGAGGTGCTTGTGTCTAAATTGACCTCTTTGGATGTTTCCAGGATACAATCAAAAGTTTATCTTTCTCCAGCAAGACTTTGGACTCTGCAAGAGTCAGGAGTTGGAGCCTTACATTTCCTCCATGACTCTAAAAGTTGTGTATCAGCTACCTTCCAACTGAAGCAGAGGTGCAGCTCTTGGGATTGAGTTTGAATGTTAGTACCTTTGGTATTCCTCGCACCGCACAGCTGAGGGTGGTGTTGTATCCGGCTATGATGGATCGATCCACCAAAGGATGTGTGAACTTTGGAGCTTCAGAGAAGTTGTGCTTCTTATAGGTGGGTGACTTGTAGGTGATGCCTAAAGAACAGTCATTTGTGGCGTTTTTGTTTTCTTCTATTGTACTTTTTGTTGTTGTATTTTTATACTTTACAAGTTACCTGTTTTCTGGATGAACACGCTGTCCTTTGTGGTGCAGGGTTCTGGACTGAACCCCACCAGGTTGATGGAATAAACTCGGAAGATGTACTCGTTGCCCATGATGAGGTCAGACACAACACAGTGAGTTCGCCTGCAGTTATCGTGGACCGTGTACCACTCCTTCAATCAGTTGGAGAGAACAGGTCAGTGATGTTTCTTAAACTGTGCACACATTTTCTAACGTAAAGCTCTCCTAATTCTTTTATATTTAGCTCACAGGTAGCCGAGCTTTCTTGTGTTCTTTTGAAATAGATTTAATTTAAAAAATAATTTTTTCAGTTTTCAATCAGTTTTTCTTTATTTTTGTCATTTTGTATTTTGCCCAGTATTTGTATTTGTCAAGAACTGCAGACTTTGCTGAGTGCGCTTGGTTATTTTCTGCACACAGTTTTTAATGCACAACTTTAAATGTAGTTTCTTGCTGAGCTGTGATGATTGGAGAATAGTTGACTCAAACTTAAGTCAATACTGCAAGAAAAAATGCTAATTTTTCATCGCAGTCTCACTGAATTGGGGGTTTACGTATAAGCACATTTTGAGTAGCCAATCCTGGATTGATTTTTTTATGCAGACGGTGCTCAAAACTGTATTAAAGATGTGGGTGAAGACTGTTTTAAGAGAAGTGACGACGGCAAACCTTTAAGTCAATTCAAGGTTCTTTGTTGTCATTCGCACCATATGTGGTACATGAGGTGGAACAAAATTGTGTACACAAGGTCCCAATTACATCCAACAATAGTAAAAATATAAAGTGTAAAAAAAACCCCCCAGTAAATAAGGATCTGAGATATAAACTAAGATATACACTAAACAAACGCCCAACGGTACACTAAAAGATCTAAGATATATGCCAATCACAATAGTACAAAACAATACACCGAACAACAGCAGCACGATTCTCGTAGGTTCTGTTCAGCTATAATTTACACGCTTAACGTGAGCAGAGTCGGGCTCGGAGCCGACCCTAAAATTAACATAAACTGGGATTTATTCAAAGCATGCACCAAAATTACAGACACAAGGTGCCAAACGTGAAAAAGAAATAAATCTACAGCAGCATGGTCCTATTGGCAGAGTGGTTCTGATGACAGTGTAGTGAGTCACGTAGGTACGTGTCACTTGTTGTATGACAAATATATGTGGTATATATTTATGCATACTTTTCACGAGTTCTTCATTTTTCTGACTGTGTAATGCCGTGCATTGAATTTAAAGGAATGCGAACGAGAGACGTTATTATCTTTGACCCATCAGATGAATGGAGTCATTTATTTTCAGAATCAAAGTTTAACATCAAACATTTACATTAATTTGGCAAAATATGAAAATAATAACAGACCGTTTCACAAATAATGAACTTCAAATCACTCGGCGGTGATTTGAGGACTTTGCTTCAGATATTTCTAAAAATATCTGTACTGATTTATGAGAGAGAGGTGAGTTTAAGAGGAAATTGAGATTTATCTTACAGAGGAATATGTGAGGGAATTTAATCTGTTTGACCAGAAATTGCACGCTCCCATCAGGTATCTCAGCTTGTCCCAGGTACACTTTAGTCGAAGAAGAAACCGTTACCTTGTTGACGATAGATCACCTCAGTAAGAACCTTCAGACTGATATCAGCGTCTCCGTTGAGAACAGCTAAAATCCTTGGAGAGTCGTGCGTGGTTAGCTCAAAACAGAATTATAATCCCAAACGTCTCTGGATTCTCGGCAACTCTGACTCTTCATTGTCAGCAGCTCTCAGACTCTTTCAGATCTTCTCTTCACCATTCCAACTCTCTCTATAACTCTAGTTCTCTGAATTCCCATGAATTCTCTTCAGAACTCCTTGAGAACTAACTGCACTCCATGGAATCTACTGCACTCTGCTCGAACCGGGAAGTTGTCACATTTTAAATGAGTTTACTTCCGAGTTTACTTCAGAGCTTTCTGATTCGTGGATGGACCAGAAAGAGGAGTGGACATAAACTGAGGTTCTCTTAGCAACATGGTCCAGTTAGAAGCATGATACTGTTAGCAGTGTGATTCGGTTAGCTGCATGGTCTTGTAAGCAGCGTTAGCAGGTCTTGTTAGCAGGCCCTCTAAGTCACTTGATGATAACGACAATAACTTTATGTCTTAAGAGAAGAGTATGGGAAGCCGATTTCAAATGTTTTGAGATAACACAGCAACAGTCACACCTAAGCGAGATACAACCTTAAAAATTATCTTCATCCATCCATCATCTTCCGCTTATTCTGAAATCGGGTTGCGGGGACAGCATCTAGAGCAGGGAGGCCCAGACATCTCTTTCCACAGCCTCTTTCAGCTGTTCTGGGAGGAGTCCAAAGCGTTCCCAGGTCAACTGAGAGACATAGTCTCTCCAGCATGTCCTCGGTCTTCCCTGCGGTCTCATCCCAGTGCCTGAATCACCTCCCTAGGGAGTTGTCCTGGGAGCATCCTTACCAGATGCCTGAAGCACCTCAACTGTCTCCTCTGGATGTGGAGGAGCAGCGGTTCTACTCTGAGTCTCTCCTGATAATTGAACTTCTCCCCCTGTCTCTAAGGGAGAGTCCAGCTACCCTGCAGAGGAAACTCATTTCTACCTCCTGTATCCACGATCTCATTCTTTCAGTCTCTACAAGAGTTCATGACCAGAGGTGAGGTGAGGAACGTAGACCAACCGGTAAACAGAGAGCTTTGTCTTACAGCTCAGCTCTCTCTTCACCACAACGGACCAGTACAGAGTCCACAATACTGCAGACGCTGCACCGATCTGTCTGTTAATCTCACGCTCCATTCTTCCCTCACTCCTGAACAAAACCCTGAGATACTTGAACTCCTGCACTTGAGACAGAACCTCACCCTTGACCTGGAAAGAACAATCCATCCTTTAAATTTTTCTTTTTTTTTCAATTATTATTATCTTTTGATGCCTAAAAATGTTAAGTCTGGTCCTCTGGACATTCAAAAAAACAAAACAAAACAAAACAAAAAAAATGTAGAAACGTTTCGTCTCTCATCCGAAAGACTTCCTCAGTCTGAGGTGCTGTATTCAGCTCAGTCTCTTAAATAGCACCTTCTCAGAGTGGATCAACCAGTTTGCTGCTGACAACCAGAACCAGCTGATCACATGCTCAAGAAGGACCATCAGCCTAACAATGGATCATTAGCACCTGATGGCTGTTTACTGTTCACAGAGGGCTGAGTGATACTAGCAATCACAGCATTGTAAGAGGGGGACAGTTGAACCCGGAGGCTCCACCCCTGTTTAATGATGGATGGTTTCTTTTCACAAAGATGGCCTTTTTTGAATGTCCAGAGGACCAGATTTAACTTTGTTTTTAGATATTTCTACCTGGATTATTGAGCATGCCTCAGGATATCTTTTGATGCATTTTTTTCTTGACAGGACTTAAAAGGTGCATCATCAAGTTTTCACCTATTAACTCTTTGGAAATCACCTCATTTGTGCTAAAATACTAATTCCTGTTTGTCAAACCATTGTGTTTAAGTATTTTAATAGATACAGCTAAGGAAATGGGGGTGGGGCGGTGTAATTTGGACAGGCCACTTGGAATAAATTGCCTTAATATCAAATTTAAAGTTGATTCTTGGTTGTTGTGTGTTGAGTTTAAGAAACTTTTTATTCCTAAATGATTCATACCAATCAGTGACCGACAGTGTTTTGACGTCACGTTTTACGGCCAGCATGGTATGCTTGGAACCAGAACAAAGTGGATACTGAAAAAGAGGCTGGTTCCATGAATAATTGCTAGTGGAAAAGCCTTGGAACTGTGCCGAACAGGCGCTAATGGAAAAGGCCCATAAAATAACCACTCTGCCAGTGGGACCATGCTGCTATAGATTTTATTTGTTTTTCACTTTTGGTGCCTTGTTACTGTATTTTTGTTGCATGCTTTAGTATTTGTTGTTGCTGTTTTTTGGTGAGTCGAGACGGTTCTTCTCGCCTTGAGCATTTCATTGCATTGTTGTTGTGTTGATTTTGCAAATGATAAATAAACCAAACCTAACCCGACCTATCACGTCTAGACTGGACTATAGCAATGGTTTATTATCTGGGTGTCCAAATACTTCTTTAAAACGTCTTCAGTTGATCCAAAATGCTGCTGCCAGAGTCTTAACTGGAGTTACTGGGAGAGATCATCTCTCTCCAGTTTTAGCTTCTCTCCATTGGCTCCCTGTCAAATCCAGAATAGAATTCAAAATCTTACTTCTAACCTACAAAGCTCTCAACAACCTAGCTCCTTCTTATATTACAGATCTTATTGCTCCATATTTTCCCAAAAGAGCACTTCTCTCTCAAACTGCAGGTTTACTCGCGGTTCCTAGAGTTTCCAAAAGCAGAATGGGAGGAAGATCTTTCAGTTCTCAGGCTCTTCTCTTGTAGAACTAAATTCCAATTTATGTCCGTGAGGCTGACACATTGTCCAGTTTTAAGACTGGGCTTAAGACTTTCCTTTTAGATAAATCCTATAGTTAGGGTGGGCTTGTTATGCTCTTTAGACTTAGACTACTAGAGGACAAATTGACCTCATTTCCTTAAATGAATTGTTAAAATTGAATAGTTTTCATTTGATACTATTTCTTTCTTAACCTGATTCTTGACCTGCCATTGTAAATGGTAAATGGACTGTACTTATATAGCGCCTTTCTATCTTATTTCAAGATACTCAAAGTGCTTTACACTACAATCCGTGTCCTCATTTACCCATTCATACAGTGCTCTACTAGATCTATACAAAGCTAATTGAACAACTCATTCTAAAGAGACTAATCTGTGCTTTTAGGTCACATTCATACACTGATGGGACACACATCAGAGGCTATGAGGGGTTCAGTGTCTTGCCCAGGGACACTTCGGCATGTGACTGCTGGTGGATTCGAACTCCCAACTCTCGCATTGGAGGACGACTGCTCTAACCATTCAGCCACAGCCGCTCGTGTATCTGTTCCTACCAAACCCAGCCGGTCGAAGCAGATGGCCACTTGTCCTGAGCCTGGTTCTGCTAAAGATTTCTTCCTCATGAAGGTGTTTTTCCTTTCCACTGTCACCTTCATGCTTGCTCAAGATAAGAGTCTGTGATGGAGTTAAACTCAAAGCAGTCTGCTCCTCA